GGCTTTATGCTCATCATAGAGCCCAGTGCGGGGCTTGAACTCACGACCCTGAGATCAAGACCTGAGCTGAGATCAGGAGTCCAATGCCCAGCTGACTGAGCCAGCCAGGTGCCCCCTTCTTTCTGGATTTCTGGACGGGTCTTTCTGGCTATTTGGGGTCGGGAAACACATAACCTTCCCGAGAGACGGTGGGAAGAAATTCCTGTCTGGAAACACATTGGGCAGTGTCTCAGGATGTCTTGTGGCTTTCACAGCTGCCAGCCAAACATCCTCCAGGGCAGGCTGCAAACGGGAGAGGGCGGTGGCCTCAGGGCTTTCTTGGTCGCCACAGAAGAAAACCCCAGAAGATCCTGCAGGCTGTCCCTTATGTGACACTGATGAGAACAGGGGCCTGGGCCCTCTGTCAGCCTGTCGGGGACAAAGGCGGATGAGGTACCAGTGGACTGGAACCAATCCCGCTTCCCTGCAGGGGGTTGGGCAAGGCCCAGATACAAGGGCCTTCCGCTGGTGATGATCTCCCATCTAGCCTTTCCCGACTCACTGACCCCTCACAGCCACCCTCCGAGGCAGCACTATCATCCTCACTTCAGGAACGAGGAAACTAAGCCCAGAGAGGTCGAGCAACTTGCCTATGAGTACACAGCCATGGCCAAAAGAAGCAGAGCCGAGGTTTGAACCAGACCACCTAACTCCAGAGTCTATGTTCATGACTGTGTGAAAGCACCGTTCAAAGAGGGAAAAGGGCAGGGAGGTCACCCCGATGGGGGTCCAGGGCACTTAGTCACCTCTAATTTCCAGCCATGAGTCTCCCAAAGCCCCATCATGGTGGTTCCCGTGGCTGTTATTATCCCTGACAGATGAGGATATTGAGGCTTAGTACACGTTACCATGTACCTTGCCCGAGGTCAAGGTAAAGGTAAGGGCCTGGGCTCCAGCCTAGCCAGGAGGGCTTGAACTACCTCTGTGGGACCTTCTCCCTACAATGGCTGGTCATTGTTATGAATGTAATGAACACAATGAAGTTGTCAAGAGACACAAGTTGCGAGAAGTTTATGACTTGCTTTTAAAATATAATCATATAGAAGAAGGAGACAGAAGGCTTCACGGCTGTGTAGGGAGCCTTGGGATGTTCCAGGAGCTGGAGACTCCCTGTGCTTGGCACGTGGCTGGGACAATGTGGCCCATAGACCCTCACTGGGCATTGGAATCAGTATCTTGGTGGTCCAGCACTGGTCCAGGGGGTTTAGCTCCAGCTTTGGGGGCCTGGGGACACCTTTTGATGGTGCATCAAGAAAACTATCTTTGGAGGCAGTCTGAGGTTCAAGCCCAGCTTCAGTGGAATCATAAACTGGGCAGGTAAGTTCATCTGTGGGGTCTCAGCGTCCTCATTGTACACCCGGGAGGGTCGAGTGAAGTTATATGGGGGGAAGGGGTCTCCATAAATGTTCTGCAAATGTGATTTTTCCTGTGTTCTCAGGGACGGACACACCTCAACCAACCTCCCAACTGTCTCATGCATGGATCAAAATTACAGACCTGGTTAACAATGAAGAATAGAACTGCCATGGCAACTGGAACACTCTGACTGGTGATCTTCCCAGCTCACCGGCCACTTGGATCTATCTCTGTTTCCTCCTCCGTATAGTAGGAAGGGTACAGGACGGATTGTGAATTACTTTGAGAACGAAACAAAAAAAGCAAGTACAATGGTTCTCTTTCTTTCCCTCTCTCCTCCTTTACTGCCTGCCACCTCAGCAGGGACACATGGGAAACCCAAGCAGCGTTGACGTAGTGGCTGAAGTCACCAAGCCCAGGGCCCCCCACCTCTTCCGCAGGCGACTGGACTACTTGGGCAGCACTGGAGACGCACTCTCCAGTGCTTACTCTTTGGTTGTCCCTTAAAGAGACCACTCCTTGGTCCCAACAGCATAGCCACTGGATCAGGAATCAAAAGCCCCTCGGTTTACTCATGGCTTCAGTTCCATCTCTGCTCTAAACTAACTGGGTGCCTGTGGGCGAATCCTTTTTGGGATCCAAAAGGAAACTGGACTTCAGTTTCTTCCTCTTGAACAGAGGGCGACATCTTCTGCCACCCACCCCCAGCTCAGACCTTTGCTGAACTGTATTGTCACACCCCCCTTCATTAGGTTGTTTTCCATACTCTAGATAGATTTGGGACACACCCAGATCTCTAGGACAGAGGCAAGGCCACACTCTGATCTTATAGGAATGCTCCTCCTGAGCTGCTTACATCTCTAGAGAGGAGAGGTGGCCCAGGTCATGTTCAAGGTTGACAAACAACTACATCATCCCGAGAGCTGAGCTGGTGGGCACATTTGTGAAGACACAACCCTAGGCATAATACTGAACCATCCCTCCCCTCCCCTCCCGTGTTACTGGGTTTTCTTTATCGAACCTTCAACAGGAGAGCTGGGAGCGAAACTATTTCCCCTGTTCATTTTTTCCTTATAAGAATGCCACCCAATCTCTAAAATATTTTTCGGATAAATACTTTGGGGAACTATTTAGTTGGGCTGTATAGACAGATACGTAGAAAAGGCATTTTAGCTTCCCAAAGGCCAGTTTTCATGATTCATGCTTGCCTAGGTTTTACTAAAGGAACATTTGGGGGTGGGCCCTGCCTAATGATAGAAATAATGTGCATTCGTGATGAAGTATCTGGAGAGCACAAACTAGCACAAAGAAGGAAATGAAAAATACCCACAGTCCCCCGCAAAGACCACGGCCCACATTCTGACATATCTCTCTCCAGGAATATATAAGTGTATGTGTATGTGGAGAAAGGTGGAAAACTAATTGACTACGGTCAAATATAAGCATATATGTTTTTTACAACTTTGAGACTTAAAATTTAATTTCGTTTTTCAAAAATATTTTATTTCATGTAAAACTCATTTTCTTAAAATGTTATCACTTTGGTTAATAACATTCTAGAGTTTTTCACATGCAAGACAAGAAATTTTACATGATACATTCTTCATCTAAACACATTTTCTTCTTTGAATTTAGGCTCACACTGTCTATACTTGTGACTTGCTTTTTTTTTTTTTTAGTTTTTCTCCTTCATTTTAAAAATTAGAGCCTACTTCCCATACTAATAGACAGCTCTGTGAGTTCTGACAAAGGCATATAGTTGTGTGACTGCTGCCACAACTGAAATGTGGAATTTTGCCCGTCATTACCTAGTTATTGAGAACACGACTATGAATGCCACCAAGGTTTCTGTCATTTGAAAGTGCAAAGATTTAATCAATCTCTCTCTCTTTTTTTTTTTTTTTGGCCATTTAAGTTGTTTACAATTTTCCTCTTAATGATTTTGCAATCTGGGGGAATGGAATGAATGAAGGAAAATGAGTGAAATCTGGGATCTCATCTTCCTGGAGCTACACCAAATGGGCTTCTCCCTTCTCTGCTTGGAGAACTGCTCATCCTTCAAGACCCAGCTGAGATGTTATGTCTTCTGTGGTCCCACGGCACTAAGTTACATGCTTATTAACCTAACATTCTAATGGTCTTTCTCCTCTCCCCTCCAGGCTGTGGACTGGGCCAAGTGATCTCTTAAACAGCTCTGTGTTCCCAAAACCTAGGCCATTCCTGGCTATGGAATGAACATTCCACAGGGTTGAACTAAATTTTCTCATTGTGTTGATTTCTTAGGAGACAGATACTTTATGGGTGGGGTGCAAATATGGGCTAGATGAATTAAGCTGGTACACTTGAGGAGAGCTGGAAATTTTCCTCCATTCCAGACCCTGAGTCAGGGGTGCAAATTCGTATTTATGTGTAGTCAATATTTATTCGATGAATGAATACATGAATGAAAGAAAGGTGTGGTCCTGGACCCTAGGGGAGAAAGCCAATCAGAGATAGCACCTGTTCTGGGTGAGCTCACAGGGGGAATCAAGGAATCCACCTTGGATGGGTTCACCTGCTCCCCGTGCAGCCTTCACTGAGACTTGGGTTAGTTCAGGGGTTCCTCGCTACCTCACCACCGGCATACAGGAGCCCAGTGGCGCCTGGCAGCAATGCCCTGACATTTTGGCCTGTAAAGAGTTTGTCCTGGAGGTGTCAAACCATGAGGGGGGGGGCATCTGCTTTAATTTATTAAAGGTGTATTTATCATCTCTGTGTCTGCAAGATCCAGCACAGGACTTGGCACAAACAGGTGTTTTTAAAAGTTTAAGTACAAAATATGAATATGAGTAAGGACAAAGATAAAACTGACCAGCGTTGGATTCCACTTGTTATACCATCCCTGGGGTAGGTCTGTGTCATTGTCGCATCCTACAGACGGGGCACTGAGTCGCCCAGCCCCACAATGTGGGGACAAGCCTTTGCTGGGAGTTGAACCAGCTGTGCCTGGCTCCCAAGCCTACGGCGCCCACGAGCCTCCACATCAAACGCCGCCCACCTGGGCCTCCGCAGGTACAGCAGGTAAGACTCGGTGAGTGGGCCCTGCGTAGAAACCGCATCCTTGAGTCCGGTAAGGTTTGGTCTCAAAGAGGCTCCGATCCCGAGGAGCCAGCCAGCAGGTGAGTCGCGCCTGGGCGCGCCCTCCTCTAAGGTGTGTGGACGTGATGTCTGGTAAGGGTCTGGCTCAGAACCTGATGCACAGTATACGTTCGATAACGGCCTTTGGCGTCCCCGGCGGCTCTAAGGGGAGATCTGGGGGCAGATGCCTTCGGGGAGCTGCTACTGCCGGCAGACGACCCCCACCTGGGTGGGGCGTGGCGGGGGCGTGGCGGGAGCGGGCTCCTCCCGCACCTAGCCAATAGGAACCCGAGAGGCACGGCCCGCCCACCTGAGGGGGCGGTGCTTGCGCACTCGGCCTCCGCGGCGCTCCTCCCGTGGGGGCGGGGCCGGTCGGCGGCGCTCGGCGCTGACGCTGCGCCGACGCGCCCGACGTCGGGCACGTTGACGCCGGCGACGCGCAGCCGGGCCCGCTCCTCCTGCGCTCAGCCAGTGTCCGGCCGCGGGCCGGCCTTGGTGACTGGGGGCTGCGGGCCCGGGGCCGGCGGGCGCGGGCGCGGGCTGCCTTCGTCGGGCCCCGAGCTCGCCCGGAGCGAGCAGCCGCCCGCGAGCTGCCGCGGAGCCTCCTCGCCCGCTCCCGCCGGCGAGCAAGGTAAAGGAGCGGGAGACCGAGGCAGGCTCGGGGCGGAGAGGGGCCGAGGTCGCCCCGGGCGGGCTCCGGCCCCCTCCCCGCGGCGGCGGCGCGGCGCTGGCTGTCAGCCCCCCGGGCGCGGGGGCGGGGGCCCGGGACCCCGGTAGGACCCCCGGCGGACGCGCCCCGAGCGACGGGCTCCTGGGGCCGCGCGGCGCCCCGGTCACCCCGGTGGCCGGGTCAGCCCGGTCAGCCGGGCGCGGGGGCCGAGGACCTGTGGCGGAGAAAAGCCGCGACCTGGGCTGCGCTCCAGTTGTCAGCGGTTCTCCCCGCCTCAGGGTCCGGGGACTCTGCGGCGCCCGGCGCGGGTGCGAAGGGGGCGGAGGTCGCTGTGTCGCCGCCCGGCGCGCAGTCCTGGGCATCGCCCTCTCGGGGGGTCCAGCCTCGGGAACCGGCCCTCCTTCGCCTCGTGCCGGCGTTGTGTTGGAGACACTTAACAGCGTCTAGGTTCTCCCCTTTCACTTTTCCTTCCTTCCTTCCTTCCTTCCTTCCTAGCCGTCCGCGGCTGTAGCGACCAGCTTTATGTTCGTTGTGAAAGTTTTCTTTCTTTCCTTTTCTTTTCTTCGGCTGTAAACTTACATAAGTTCGGTCGCCTGACCGTCGCACCTTGCAGCTATTGAAAAGCGCCTTTCCCGGCCCTTAACGAATCCAGTTCCTTTGAGCGCTCACCAAATCCAGCCCGAGAATTCAGGGAGCCGTCAGTCCTCCTCGGGAGCTGACTGCACACATTCCTGTAAGATGCCTGATGGATTTTGTACTTGTCAGTTTTACTGGCTGTATGCTCCTTCTGTGCTTTTCCTGAAAAATGATTGGGTGGCATGTGTTTTGACTTTCTCTCCCCCACCGGGAAATAGGGGAAAAAAAAAAAAAAAAGGTTACAGAAGCACGCTTGTTTCCAACAACTAGAAAGTACGGCTTTGCAAACAAAATGCCACAGGGTTTGTTCTTTATGCGAGGGGTAGTCTCTGGGGTCTTTACCCTTCGCCGGTTATTAATGTGTTCATCTTGTGTGTTCCTGCGCTCAAGATTCCTGGGTATATGTTTTCCCCGCTTATATTCAGAGTGTAACAGTCAGATCTGAGAATAATGAGGCTGTCTGTCAACCTTCGGTTTATTAGCTACACAGAGCTATAAAGTTGCAGTTTGTGGGAGCCTTTATTTTGCACTTAATGACTGGAGTCTGGGTCTTTTATTTCAAGATGATGTGCGAGGTGATGCCGACCATCAGTGAAGCAGAAGGCCCGCCAGGAGGAAGCGGGAGCCATGGGTCCGGCTCCCCTTCGCAGCCAGATGCAGATTCACATTTTGAACAGTTGATGGTGTCCATGCTGGAAGAGAGGGACCGTCTTCTGGACACGCTGAGAGAGACTCAGGAAACGCTGGCATTGACCCAGGGGAAGTTACACGAGGTTGGTCATGAGAGAGACTCCTTGCAGAGGCAGCTCAATACTGCACTCCCACAGGTATGGATGCTTTTCACCTGGAACTCTACAGATTCTTTTTTTTTTCCCTCTCTAAATGTTTTTTTATGGTATCATCTTTCACGGTGTTCATGTTTTAGACAAGTTTGTGAAATGGTTCTGGGTTTCGTAAGTCACATGCAGAGAGCGTTCCCGAGGGTTAAACTTCTGAGGGAGGAGGAACTCTGTGGTGCGCTTTACTTTAAACACCTCATAACTCTTGTTCCCTTCCTCGGGCAGCAGAAGGAACTGTCTAGATTTGGGACAATGCTCCGAAGATTTTGGACAAAGGCCATGAGGCATCCAAGCTGTGTGGTACCTTCCGTTCTATTGTCTCAGGCCTTTCTTGCTGAACGTGTGTTTCTCACGGATTTTACCACATATCTCCCATTTTCTAATGAAATTTAATGGGCAGATAGGATTGCTCTCGCAGGAAAGATATTTTTACAGTCCACCTTTAGAAGAACACCTGTGTTTTGTAAATGAACTTTGTCATGGGGGACATGAGACGGAGATTAATTCCGTCAGAACTTTCTCTTGGCTGATGAGAATAGTAAGCTTGGAGTGACACCAAAGTCGTTCATCTGAGTATATGACATTTACTGGTGTTTCAGAGCCTCTTCTTGTGGAGCCGAGTGAGAACGTAATGATAGGTGAGGGGAGAATGTCACCCATGAAAGTGTAAGGCGAGTGGCACCGAGTGTGCGGGAGACACCGGGGTTACTTGGATGTTCACGGCCGCCTAGGTGCCACTTGACTTACCCATAATAGGCACCTCTGTGGTCCTTTCAGGTAGGCCTGCATAAGTACACACTTCTGCTCCTGCCATCCGTCTGCAGTGCTAAATTAGTAAATGAGTAATTGCTAGCCCCAATGCGTTTCTTGGCTGTAGTCAGTTCTCCTGAAAGATTGATAAGCCAAGCGTTTGCATTTCCTTTTTAGCAATAATAATCTGGCGTTCCTGCTGTAGTGCTCCTTTTCCGTGGGCTCAGAGAACCATCACGGTCTTTCTCGTGCAAGCCTCACGAATTATGTAGTTCGTGTAGGTCAGGTTTTATTACCACAAGCTCAAAAGCATGGGCCAAATGATGCTCCATCAGGATTTTAGTGTACTTGTAAATTTTTCAGTAGTTTTTGTTTGTTTTTTGTTTTGTGATTGTTACTTGTTTTAGTGTAATTTGAGGCCGTGCACTGAAGTGCGTATCAAATACTTAAGTATTTGATCATGTAGATTTTTGAAAGAATGAGTACACACGACCTAACAGAAGGGACAGGAGTTTTGTGCAGTGGAGGGTGTGACCCCACACCATTGCTCAGTGATTGTTTTGTTTTGTTTTGTTTTTAAAGATTTTATTTATTTATTCATGAGAGAGAGAGAGAGAGAGAGAGAGAGAGAGAGAGAGAGGCAGAGGGAGAAGCAGGCTCCCAAGGAGCAGGGAGCCCGATGCGGGACTCGATCCCAGGACTCTGGGATCATGACCTGAGCCGAAGGCAGACGCTTAACCATCTGAGCCACCCAGGCGCCCTCAGTGATTGGTTTTTAGCTACTGCTCAGTGTCTTGTAGCCTGGAAGCTCTTCATTGAGTGGAGAGTGCAACACTGGCCACACCTACCTCCCTGGTCTCCCTGCCTGCCCACCTGAGCACCTCTCCACCTCCCTGGTCTCCTGGCCTCCCTGCCTCTCCACCTCTCCACCTCCCTACCTCCCTGGGCTCCCCTCCTCCCTGCCTCCCCTCCAGGCCTGAGCACCTGAGACCAGCATTTCAGAAACACAGGAACCATTAAGTAAACCGTTTTGAACCTTCCCTTTCTCTGGTGTTTGACTCATGTTTGGTGGCTGATAGTGTGGCCAGATAGGTATATGAGTAAGTGCATTTGTACTACTATCACGTTATATAAGCAAGTAGTAATATACATTAACAAATCTTAACTATAACATAATCAGAAAAATTCACAATGGTGAGTATACATTTCAGAGACTTTTTTTACTTAGTGAGCACATGCTTGTAGCCACCACGTAGATGAAGAAATAGAACATTACCAAGTTTCCCAGAAGCCCCCTCCTACCCACTCCTGGTAACTCTGCCCCAAAGCTACCCATGGTCTTGACTTTTCGCCATTGATTGCTTTGGTATGCTCTTGACCTCATATAAATGAAATAGTCCTTCAGCATTATGTTTATGAGATGCGTCTGTTTGGCCTCGTGTAGCTTTGTTCTTTCTCATTGCTGTCTAGTCCCTGGTGTGTGAAAATACCATAGTTACTCTTTCTGCTGGGCATGGGTATTCACAAATGCTGCCCCTGACTATTCTTGCTTGTTTGTTGGTACAGATATGTATACGTTTCTGTTGAGTGTGCTCAAAGCAGCAGCATCGCTGAGTGATGGCGTGTGTGTTTGTTCACCCCCCACGCACGATATGTGAGCACCCAGTGGCTGGCTGACCCTCGGTTTTGTCGCTTCTTGCATTTTAGCTGTCTGGTGGTTGTCAAGTGGTAGGGAGTGGAGTATGGTGTGAGCTTGCAGCTCCCCGACGACCAGTAAATGTGCAGGGGCAGGACTTCTCTGTGTGTGTTCATTGGCCACTTGGATATCTTCTTTTGTGAAATAATTGTCTCTTGCCTATTTTTCAATTGGGTTGTCTGTTTTGTTTTTTATTGATTTGAAGGAGTTCTTTTTATATTTTTTGAATACATATATGGATAGCAGATTTTTTTTTTCGTTCCCTCGGTGTATTTTGATAAGTTCGTTTTTTTTGCTTTCCAATGCAATAACCATTTTTATTTTTCTTGCCTTCTTGTACTGGGTAGGATCTTCAGTACAGTGTTGAGTAGAAGTGGTGAGAATAGGTGTCCTTGTCTCACTGCCAATACCAGAGAGAGCTTTCAGGATTTGACCATCACATATGATACCAGCTGTGGCTTTATTGGTAGATATTTTTTATCAAAATATGAAAATTCTCCATAAGTGATTCTTTTTAATGTGGTGATTTAACTTTAAAAAAATTTTTTTGCCACACTACAGTAATCCCAACTTGGTCTCTGTGTATTCTCTTTTTGCTAGATTCTATTGGTTAATATTTTGCTTAGGATTCTTTCATGTGTATTCATGAAAGAGGTTGGTCTGTAATTGTACTTTCTTGTATTGTCCTTGTTGGGTTTCGGTTAAGGCTGTGCTGGTCTCATAAAACAAGGTAGGAAGTGTTCCTTGTATATTCCCAGAAGAGTTTGTGTGAGCCTGATGTTTTCTTCCTTCAATTTTTGGAAGAATTGATCAGCAAAACCAGCTGATGTAGGGTTTTCCTTGTGAGAAGGTCTTTAATTGCAGATTCATTTTTTTATGTGGAAATAGGATTTTTCTGATTTTATATTTCTTCTTGTATCTATTCAGATAGGGCATTTTTTTTCCTAGGAATTTGCTTAGGCCACCCGAACTTTCCAAGTAATAAGTGTAAAGTGGTTCATAATATCCTTATCATCTGCAGAATCTGTTGTGATATTTCCTTTTAAAAATTCTTGATATTGGTAATTTGTGCTTTGTGTCTTTCTTAATCAGTCTTGGTTAGGGGATTATTAATTTTGTTAGTCCTTTCAAAGAACCAACTTTAGGCTTTATTGATTTTTTTTTCTATTTGTTTTTCTATTTGTTTTCTGTTTCATTAATTTGTTCTTTTTTTCCCCCATCTACTTTGTGTTTTGTTTGCTGTTCTTTTTTCTAGTTCTTCAGCTAAATACTTAGCTTGATTTTTAGCCTTTCTTCTTTTCCAGTATATGTATTTTAAAGCTACAAGTTTCTCTTTAAGCACATGTTTGATTAGCCCACAAGTTTTGATAAGCCAAATTTTCATTATCTTTTATGTAAAAATCTTTTCTAGTTTTCATTGTGGTTATTTTTTTATTCATAAAGTTTTTTAGAAGTATATCACTTCTCAAGGTTTAGGGGGATTTTCTAGTTATCTTTTTGCTGATTTCTGTCTTAATTCTATGAAGGTATCTGTCTTAGTCTTTTGGGGTTGCTATCACAAAATACCATAGACTGGCTGACTAATAGGCAACAGAAGTTTATTTCTCATAGTTCTGGAGACTGGGACGTCCTCAAGATCAAGGCATGGGCGGATTCAGTGTCCAGTAAGACCTGGTTTCCTGGTTCATAGACATCGGCTTCCACTGTCCTCACGCTGCGGCAGGGGTGAGGGAGCTCACTCCACCCATGACCTGGTCACCTCCCGAAGTCTCCATGTCCTAATACCATCACCTTGGAGATGATGAACGGGGGGGAATGTAAACTGTTAATCTGTTGCAGTCCCTAAATATGACCTGCATAGTTTCAATCCTTTGAAATGAGTTGAGCTTTTCTAGTGGCTCGGTGTACATTAATTTTCATTAAGTGTTCCTTGGGCACTTGAAAATAATGTGTATTGGTGGGAATGCAGTGTTCTGTGTTTATTAGTGAGGTGAAGTTTGTTAGTCATGTAATTCAGATTCTAGTAGACACATTAAATAAAGTAAGAAAGAGGTGAAAATAATTTTAAGAATATATTTTATCGGGGTGCCTGGGTGGCTAAGTCGTTTAGTGTCTGCCTTCAGCTCAGGTCATGATACCAGAGTCCTGGGATCGAGCCCCATGTCAGGCTCCCTGCTCAGCAGGAGGCCTGCTTCTCCCTCTCCCACTCCCCCTGCGTGTGTTCCCTCTCTCGCTGTCTCTCTCTCTGTCAAATAAATAAAATCTTAAATATATATATATATATTTTATCTAACACAAATATCCAAAATATCATTTCAGTGTATAATCAACATTAAACAATCTAATGAAATAGTTTACGTTCTTTTTATTATATTAAGTCTTTAAAATCTGGTTTGCATTTTATATTCAAGCACATCTCAATTTGGAGTAGCCACATTTCAGGTATTTACTGGCCACATGTGACTACAGATTGGACAGCCCAGCCCTACACCCTGTTGTTAGTTGTGTCAATTACTGAGATCTGTATCTGAGGTCTCCCTCT